CCGTATCTGTATCTGTATCTGCATCTGTATCTGGATCTGGATCTGGATCTGGATCTGGATCTGGATCTGGATCCGGATCTGGATCTGGATCTGGATCTGGATCTGGATCTGGATCTGGATCTGGATCTGGATCTGGATCTGGATCTGGATCTGTATCTGTATCTGTATCTGTATCTGTATCTGTATCTGTATCTGTATCTGTATCTGTATCTGTATCTGTATCTGTATCTGCATCTGCATCTGCATCTGCATCTGTATCTGCATCTGCATCTGCATCTGCATCTGTATCTGTCTGCATCTGCATCTGTATCTGTATCTGTATCTGTATCTGTATATGCATCTGTATCTGTATCTGTATATGTACATACATACATGCGTGCTGTAATGCATAAATTTTACATTCCTGTATTCAAAGTCTCGGAATAGTTGTCGAATCTAAGAAAGCAATAATTTAGGTAGCTTCGTCCGCCAGTCGCGACTGGACGGTCGTCCGCGTTTTTGCACGCAAAATCGCAATGCACGAGTACTTCAACTACTCTAAACCTTCCAAGCACGTAGGTAACCTCTAGTCATGTAGCTTACCTGTCTAACGAATGCATGGTGCGTGTGTGCATGTGTGCAGATTCCATTGAGGTTGCCCCCGCTCTCAGCTCGATCTGGGGAACAGCCAACATCGGGCCCGGAAAACCCTTTAACGACACCCAAGCGAAGTGGATTTGGGCACACTCGGGGTCGACTGTCTCCAGCTCGTACTTCCTAAGGCCTATATTCACGACCATGTTCGTAGTGCCGCAAGACACAAGCGCTCTGCTGAGCCTCATCGTCGATGACCGTGCGGACATAGTCTTCAATGGCCAGATGGTCACTGCACTGGAGTGGGGTTACCTGGCAGGGCAGTACACTAACCGGCCAGTACGGCTGAACCTGAAAAGGGGCATCAATACACTTTCGGTGATAGTTACGAACTACAACAACCCTGGGAGCCCAGCAGGGTTGCTTGCCTCCCTATCCAGCAGCGATGGCCGTAGTGTGTATTCGCGCACCAGCAGCAGCGCCTGGGTCTACAGCGCCTTGGTCAGCTCTAATCCAGGTAAGAATTGGTTTGGTGGCTATTGTACAATTAGACGCCTAGCTGATTCGTTGGCCACTCAGTAAGATGGGGGCACTTAGTAAGATGGCATGATGCACTATAACTACCAGCAGCAGTTCTGTTCTGGACATACGGCAATATTTAATAGTATCATTTGTCGTTGTTGTAGTAATTACAACATAAGGAGTTTTTTTTACAATAATTATGTTATAATTATTTAAAACGATAAAGCCACAGCCGCACACGCATCATTGCGCCCGAAGTCAAGCACCACGCAGCCACAAACAGTGGTGACTACTGGTTGATGTCATCCCTAACACGCAACGCGCCGGCCGCATATCCCCCCATTCCCGCGGCATACTGGCGGCGGTGGGCTCTGCAGCGGACACTACTATAACTACATCTGGTGAGTTCGAGACCTGCGTGTTGTGGGTGGGTGTATGGGTGGGTGTATGTGGTTTGTGAGCGAGCATGTCAGAGCTGTACAGACATGTCATCAGAGACTTCGCTATCGGTTACAAATTACAAATGGTCCTTCAAGTTAGTTACCTGTTCGTTTGCTTTCGGTTATGGATCCAGCTGGATGTACGACCTGCAGGTCGTTGTATAGTATCCTAACGGAAGCCAATGGCTCGTCCACAAGCCGTACATCGGTTTAATACCGATCACATCATAACAAATAAATCCATTCTGGGAAATGCGGTTCAATGCTGATACCAGAGCTCGATCCCTGTGGCATGCTCTTTCTTTAGTTTCAGCCTTCGTAAGCCGACCATACATGAGCATGCACGCTGTAACATGCACTGCTGGCCCTGGCTGACCACACTCGCTCCCTGACATTTCAGGTTGGTCTGGCCACAGTTGCCCATTTTGCAAATACCCACATTAACAGTGTCTGTATTGGTGTCGGACAGTATAAGCCCCAAATCACGATTTATTACTCTTTTGGAATTAATGCTTAAATCAAAAACACTGGGGTACACATGCATGCACGCCTGTGGGCAGTTAGCCCTCATGCCGGTCATGACACACATGTCGGTGGACAAGAACTTATTACACACCTGAGCTGGCCCACGTGTCGAAGCACTCTATCCATCCCAGCTGTCTATCCAAACAAGTAACGATCGAGGGCTGTGCCTGATCCGCGCGTGTGCAGGCTGTATTGAGCTGGCCTGGTCTGGCAAGCCTTTCCCGGATACACAGGCCAAGTGGATTTGGTCAGACGCGGGAAGATCTTCTGGCATGAGGACGGCCATGACCACCATTCTATACGCTCAGCAAGCAGGCACACGGGTCTTGCTGAACGCCATCTCTCTGAGCACCGCAAATGTGTACCTTAATGGAATCCTCATGGGTAGCCTTCCGGGGGGTGGTAACCCCACCAGCTTACTCTTCAACCGGACCCTAGCCGTTGGGACCAACACAATCTCTGTGGCCGCTTATTATGGGGTCCCAACCCCGGGTCAAGCCGGCTTTGTGGCCTCCCTCACCAGCAGCGATGGCACAACCTTACTGGCCCGCACAAGCACCGACTGGACCTGCAGCGTTAACGTGCCTAGTATCTAAAACAATGGCTTAAGTTTAACTACTAGACAGGTGATGAGTGTTACTGGGTACGGGAGTTTTGGTCTATATGGAGTCCTTTCCATGCATGCCAGAAGGTATGCTTGCACGTGTGTTTCAGCTAGCGGTTAAACACGCGGGAGGTGGGCTAAGGGGGAGGTGGGCCTTTTCAGCGGCCATCTTCCACAATCCCCTAGTAAGGGACCGCGGCTGGGTTGGCTCGCTCACACCTACTAATTACAGAATAACATACTCTCAATTTTTATGAAACAAGCTGTTTTGGGAAAGTTGGGAAATGACCAGTTACGGTTAAGGATGATCTAGTTACCACACACCGGGGCTGTGCTGCCTTAGCCATTGCACCAGGTGCTCATGCATTTCCGATAATAAGGTTGTCGGGAGCTGTGTAAGTTAACTAATGGCCTAATGGCCGCGGTGCCGCGCGTACCTATCGCTGGCTTTGTGCGGTCAAGGACGATCGCGAGCTGCTGCATGTCTTTTGTGTGTGGCCACCGGGGCCTTCGAGGGGGCCTTCGAGTCAACAAGCGGGATGGGCTCATTGGCTTACGAGGGCGCGGAATGTGTTTAACTATTCCGGCGGAAGGGGCCCCAATAGCTGTGTGACTAGGTTTCTCTCAGGCGAGCGAGCGAGGATGCCTACATCCCCACTCGGCGCCATAATAATGGCTAATGGCGGTCCATGGCAGACTTCTGCAAAATGAGTATTTCTGGTTTCGGGAACGGGTCCGTTTCTGTGATCATTGACTGCCGGTTTCGGCCGTCGGGGGCCCTTCGGCTGTAGAGGATCTTGCGTATGGGATGGCAGGCGAGTGGTCCTCTATTTCTGCAAGCGGGTCGGCTTCGGGAACTCTATTCCTGTTTTCGGGAGTTTCGGTACGACTTGAAGTGCCCGAAGCGTTTGCCGATGTCTGGTCCATGGTCCCCCCGCCATTCACGGACGGCTCCCGCATTTGTGAGGAACTTGTAACTTGTATCTGTATTGTCACAGAGTGGAAGGCTTCTGGGCCACTTTATCACATTGTCAATTCTACGATTTATCACCTTATAGCACCATCCACCACTACCAAACTGTACTACGCCATACGAACTTTAAGTCCAAGGCGGTGGATCCAGCCTTCAGGGATCCCTCCTCATCCATTCACCCGAACATCCGAAGAGTCAGAGGGTTCGGCAATGGCCACCAACCCAGCGTGCGAATCTGGTCCATCAACTGTGACCTCAACTCCACATCTCAGCAGCTAGCCATAATCTCGCACTCCCGACTAATTCAGGGGTCTCCCCAGGAATTGAACCCAGGAACTTAAACCGCTGATTGCAGTAGTGTCAAGCCAGACCAGACCAACTAACTTGTAACTTGCAACTACGCTAACCCACCTAACCACTACAAAGCCACTCAACCTTTGCCGACGTCTACATATCGGCGGCAATCCCACTAGTTTGGCAATGCTTCCTTCATTGTTTTATCAGCGCCTTACCCACATAACCGCGTTAACATAGTCCGGCTGAGCCTCCCAAAATATTTGTGAATTAATGCAGCATCTGCAATCCTCTAAAATAGCACCACATATTAACTGTAAGGTTTCCCCAAATCATTCGGCTCAGCGGAAATGTTGGTCGTTGAAAGTCGCAGCCTCTCCGCCACTCGATGCTTTACAGTCGCGGCAAGCATGGGTACGTGAATCTCCGCTACTTTAAGTTAACTCCATGCCTAGACTTGATCTTGCGTTCCGGCAGGGACTGGCAGCCCGGGCTGTCGGGCGTACGGATGATGGGCAGATGGCAGGCGTCAGCAGAAGCAATGCCACGGCAGTCGTTCAGGCAGCGGCATATGGGCAACAAGGACCCACCATCGCTGTACTATCTTACCGGGACCGGCCAGAAGTTGCCCAGGCTGCCGTAGAAAACATCGCAGCAGCCTTTCAGGACGATCCCTCCACCACCTACTTTTGCCGGTAAGCCCGCGGCGCACAAGGTGAGGTCCCTCCCTGCTAGCTGGCTTTCTGGTTAACGAGAATCCCTGGGGATGGTTTGGACGGTTTTGGGGGGAACCCAAGAACGGACAAGACCCAAACGCAAACAACCCATCGAGGAGGGCCATCCATCGATGATGGGGTGCAGGACCCGTAAGCCGTACCCTATGATTGCGTGGCACGGCACCACACGGGAGTCTTCTCTCAGTTTACTGGGGTTCACAGGATTTCAGGGGTTACAGCGTGGCGCGGGGTGTGGTCAATTCCGCCGCGGCTGAGGGCGCCCTGCCGTCGCCGGGGCTCTCTGTCACTCTAATACACCTCCCTGCTGCTGCACCCGGGCCTCCGTCTCCCCACCCCACCCGCAATAGAGGGAACAGAGACGGCGACATCGCATCAGTGGGCTCCGGGTTACATGCTGTTTACGTTGTTACCTTCCCAAGCACTCCACCCTTGTTTACCGGCCTAACCCCAACGACCCCTCTTGTGACCCCGCCACCCTTCCTCGTCTGCAGCCCAGAACGGCGTGTGCAATACTACCGCTCCATCTTGTCTTGCCTGCTGGACTGGTACCCGGAGGACAAGCAGCTGGTTTGGTGAGTGGGTGCCTCTCTATGTGTGCGCGTGAGAGAGAGGGGCGGGGCTCCTTGCTCCGTGGTGTCGCGGGGTGGTGGTAAGTGGGCGGGGGGCTCTCTATCGCTGCTTTGCCGCTTCACTGCTGGCCCTGCTGCCGGCCCTGCTGCTCCTCGCAGCACACTTCCCCCGGACGCCGCAGCCTTCGTGCACGTGTTCCCCCGGCTTCGTGAGCTGGACGCCTGGACCAAGCTGCGACGGGGGGCCCTTGTGCCGCTGGGCTGTGTACGGCTGGGCAGGCTGCTGACGGGTATGGACGCAAGCAGCTTCTTCGAGGGGCAGAGGGAGGACTTCGTTAAGGTGGGTGTGGGGGAGGAGGGTGGGTGTGGGGGAGGAGGGTGGGTGTGGGGGAGGAGGGTGTGGGGGGGGGAGGTGGGTGGGTGGGGGAGGAGGGTGGGTGG